GAAAGACTGACTTACTCTGAAATTTCAGGACGACTGGCCCATTCGCCAAACTGGGTGTAACAGGGTTCTTGGAGGGTTGACGGTTTGGAAAGTTCTGTAGAGTCCAGAGGCGTTTGCGGAGTCTGATGACTTTCGGTGGAGTCCTTGTGCACGCTGGCCGAAAGCCTATCCTCAAGGGCTGAATAAAGCACATTCAGGTCCGGGGACTGAAAGTGAATTCCGATAGTGCTAATCTTGGCTGGAGGCGAGACGCTTTTACGCGGCGAATAACCAAGCATTTGCGGTGTCACCTCAATCCACTCAGCTTTCTCATCTGTCAAAAAAATAAGAAATGCCTCATTTACCGCAATCGCTGGTTTATGGGAATAATAAAAAATTGAACGTAGCAAGACCGGCAATATATATATCGGCATGAAAGAGTAGACTACAGCTGGACTTCCGTCCTTTACGGACAAAAGTGCAGTCTGTTAAATATCCGTTTCCTAGGCTTTCCTAGACACAAAAGCATGCCTAAATGATATACAATACTTCTGAACTTCCAACTGTACAAATATTTGCCATTAATTAAACTGGTTCGTATTGTGGAAGAAGACAAAATGAGACCATTTAGTACACCGCAGTGCCTGCTGTGGGCCCGAGACGAGATTTCACCATATCAACGCATGTCATCTAGGTTGAATGGGACATCTGCAGATTGAGGATGGTGGAAGTGATTTTAGCGTGATGCACTCACGACGCATCAGCAGACGAACCAAACACTTGTACCACAGGAACGTGTTTCACCCCACATCGCCAGAATAGGCCAAAGGGTACAATTAAAAAGTTACATCCAACTGGCGTTTATGTTTTCGTAATCAATCCTGAAGACAATGACGGGTCATGCGACCGTTGTCAGGGAAGTTGAATCTTTATCTTTTTAAGCAACATGGAAATGTTCGCAGGGGGTTGGAATGCGTATACCAGTAAGGCTGAATCAACTACCTGCCACATCTGCAGAAAGCCTGCTACGGAAAATGGCCGTGCAGATAATGGCTAACCTCATGGTTTCCTGTGGCAGGTTGCGGCACTAGAAAAGACACTTGTCGACTCGGTATTTCAATGGCGGGAGGACTGTCGCACTAACTTGCACTGGGCAATTGAGATCTTCGATGCTTAGGGTAGACATGGATAATGTGCTACATAAGACGATATACTTGGGGCAGTATGACCGTGTTTGAATCTCACATCTTTCTCAACGGCCCCTCCGCCTCTATAACCGGATACTTACAAACTTTGATCCCATGAAACATCTAACCTTCAGGAGAACATCATTAACAGCCTTGTTTTGTTGGACGACAATAAAGCTTAGTAGCCCAGTGCGATGAGTATATCATATGAAAGAATAATGCCATTCTTACGTTGTTGCGACGTAGCCCGCAGGTAAAACAAAAACAAATAATAAACGTCAGGATGTTGAGCGGCGCACCAGGTCGGGAAGGTGGGTTACCCGTTAGCCTAGCTACTGCCTACCCGGCGCGTCCACAGATGGCGGATAGTGGAACGACCTTCAGTGAAGGTTATCTGTGAAATAAGCAGAC